GGGGGGGGGGGGGGGGGGGGGGGGCGGGAACAAATAAATGTGGCAACACCACCCACCACGCGGCCGATAAGCACACTACTACCACTACTTACGCTGCCGTCCACCATACGCAAGAAGCAGAAACTCCGAGCAATTAATGTCTTCCATTACCAATCGTTCAATGGGAAGTTTTTGGTCAGCTAAGTTGTTGTGTTCCACAACAAAATAATAAATAATGGTATTTGTACGAAGTATAGAATTATCTAGTCTTCTAATGCTGAGCGTTCAATTCTTTTCAGAAGAGTTTTTTTCGACCACTATTCTTATAGATATATCTTTAGGAGACAGACAGACGTACGTACGTGTTGCCGTATTGACTTTTACAGAGAGATGCAGCGTATGTATGTATGTATGTATATGGTACGTAGTATCATCGCCTACTCTCTCTCTCTCTTTTTCGCAGTCTTTGCTTTGCCCCCCAATCGTTGCCGTGCGTGTTTCTACGCAACAATATATGCACATATATATCAAAGAGAGTGTAGGCCCATGTCTATGTTGGATCCGGCACTACATCATGATCAGAAGATAAAGATGGCGCTCGCTCGCACTTGAGAACTTGGTAGTTAAGAAATGCGGCCACGAAAAAAATCAAAATCAAAGAAATTGACTACAAGTACATAATAATAATAAATAAAAACAATACTGCGTGCGTGCGTGCTCAAGCCCGACGTGGTGCTGCCAACAAGAACGAACCCGCCTTTCTTTCTTTGTGGTGTAAGAACAGAGCCCCCAAAATGCGACAGCTGCAAGATAATAAGCACTCACGAAGGGGTGAGGGGTTACTCGCGGGGTGACCGGTGGGCACTTAGTTGCAGATCAGCGGCGAGGAGGAGGTTCCTCTGAAAATAGTACTGGTGCGGAGATGGGGGGGATGTACTGTTATTATTTTTGCGTGTCTAACGGTAGCCAACTACGTATTATTAGTATGTATGATGTAGAAAAAAATCGGGCTTACAAATAAATGCTGGCACTCTTGAAGCTTTTTTTTTAATTGCCGCGAATGTCCAATATATCGGTGTGTCGTGTTCTCTGTGGACACCGGCTGGTACATGGTTTTCGCGGCAAGGCATGGACATTCTCGGGCTTGGACAACCTCGCCTGCAACCAAGCACAAAAACAAACAAATGTCCCTTTGCTGGGTTTGGGCCGGCGTGTCCGAACCCTGCCTAACCTTGGAGGTTGGCAACGGTGCGCCCGACCGGGTTACGCAGGTTGTACAATGCCTAGGGGTTTCAGGTCACTTTAACCCCCCCCTAACCGTGCCCACTGGCCACCTGTCTGTGTGGTCATTTTGCTGGACGTTCGTGTCAGCGACTTCAAAGCTGGCGTCCGCACGGGTGTTGCGTCGTGTGGCATATCGTGCGGGGAGGAATACGGGGGTACTTATACTAATAGTCGTGCATGGTCGTTAGAAACAGGGTTTTCGCCTGATTGAGAGCGGAGTATACGATTGAGAGCGGGAGCCAAAAAAAATGAAATTTCGGGTCCAGACGCCTCTT